TCAGAGAGCAGAACCACAGCTCTAGATTTCAGTGTGCCTAGGCAACGCCCCAGGCCGGCCTTGAAAGCCACTAGTCCCAGAAGGACCTGGTGCCTACCCATGGTAATACCCCACTCCACCCTGCTGGTTGGACAGGTAGGACTGACTTCCTTCCACTCAGTGGAATCAGGAAATCCAGAGAAACTCAGAGACAGCACCCTGCCTAGTCCATTCATTAAAATAAGGGCTCAATTGCTCTAAACAAGACCCAGTATAATAGTTGCTTAAACAATGAAGTTTATTTATTTATCTCATAAAAGTCCAAACTTGTATTTGTGGCTCTGGTTTTCAGAGTTGTCTCCCAGCTTCCTTCCATCTACTTGCTTCCCCATCTCTAGGATGTTGCTCTTATTTACATGATCCAAAATGCCCACATGTGACCAGTTAAAAATTGATTACTATGAGAAGAAAAAAAAAAGGAAAATTGCTTTGAGGACAACCACCAGTTTCTGATTCACTATAGCAACAAAAGTCCAGGCCTGCAGCGTGAAGCCTAAGGAATAAAAAAGCAGTCTCGTCATTTGTGAGCAATAAAAGAGTTTTCATACACTCAAGAGAACAATGTTTAAAATCAGACTTTCGGAGCTCAGAGCATTGGACACCAACAACTCCATAGTTTCTGTGCAAAGACGTGGAAAAATCCAGTCAGGGGGTTTGTCTATCCTGAGCAACAAAGCACACGTTATATATAAATTCGGTGGTACTGATTGCGGTCAATTTTCTTCAAACAAACTGGGCAATTTTTAGTATTTCTAAGGAAAGTGCAGAGGCACTGACTACAGAAGATGTGGCCACATGCTGTAGAATAGATATGCCGTCTACTCAATTCAATCTCAAAGTACCCGTCCATACAAATCCGGCACTGGACATAACCAGGTAGTGCGCACCTAAAAGTTTCTTTTTCCAGGGCATATACATCTCTGTCTCTCATCACCCGCTTCTTTTCGCTCAGCACACAGATGCTAGTTTGTCCTTGGAGTGACCTTTTGTTTCTCCTTGGCCTCCTCCTTTCCTCAGTAGTCACAACAGAGTCATGGTGAGTTAGGTCAATCACTGCAGGTTCGAGAGAGTCAGAGGTGAGGTCAACCACTTCCTCACTTTCTCCGAGTTCTATCAGTTCCGATTCCAAGACCACCTCAGGAATTGGGTCTCCTCCCCGAGCTGTACAAAATTCTCCAGCTTGTCTAGAATTCACCACACTACCATAGCATGTACTTGCATTCATTGTGCTTTTTGGATCCAGGCCTCAGTTTACAGTGAATGTTAGAAGTCCTCAGCGTCTCACAGATGATGGTCAGTCACTCTCTGACTTACATAAGAATTTAAAGTCCAGATTTTCAAGTCTATCTGACCACTGATCCTGGTTCCAGTCCTGGCTCCACCTCCACAACGGCTGTGTTCCCACGGGGGTGAGGGGGGGTGATGCTTCTGGGAGCCACTTATAAAACTGAATGGTGTGTAACTGAAAAATGAGAAAAAAGTAAACTTTATTAATAGTTAAAATAAGATTGACAGTAGTAAAAAATGTAAAGATATATAGCGAAAATGCATATCAAACATTTTTGATAGTTATGCATTTAAACAAAGCTTAAGCTTTGTGTCCCTCCTTATTCCATGTCCTGACGGTAGGGGGAGAAGGGCACACAATCATAAACACCAAAAAAGGGTCACGACTTCACTCAAGAGCCATTAGGAGAAATTCCAGGATACACCTTTTTACAAAGTAAAAAGGGAGAAGCCCAAAAGTTCTGTGCATATTTGAGTTTCTAATAGCAACTAAGAAATGAATCATTGAGTTCATGTACAAAAGCTTCATCTTGCCCAGAATCATCTTTCTAACAGAGGCAGCAAGTGGAGTTTTGAAGAGTTTTAGCCCAGATTCTGTTCTAGGAAAGAGGGAATGGAGTTCAAGCACTCATCACAGAGAGTTTGGTTTGAGTCTACTCTCTGTGGCTTTTGGGTACATGACCTAGATGGTTAAAGTTCTCAAAACTTTATGAAAGCTCTATAAATTATTTTGTAATTTTAAAATAATGTATCACTAAGTCATTAAGAAAAGGCAAATATTTAAAGCCAGAATGAAATACCATTTCACAGCGAGTAGGATGGCAATAATATAAAAGATAATAAGTGTTGGCAAGAATACAGAAAAATTGGAACTCTCATACACTGCTGATGGGAATGTAAAATGGTGTGATAGCTTTGGAAAACAGTTTGGAAGTTCCTCAAAATGTTAAACATAGAGTTACCAGATGACCCAGCAATTCCACTCCTAGGTTTATACCCAAGAGAATTGAAAGCATAGGTTCACGTGGAAAACTTGTATATGAATATTGACAACAGCATTATTTATAATAATGGAAAGTGGAAACAACTCAAATGCCCATTAACTGATGAATGGATAAACAAAATGTGGCATATCCAGACAATGGAGAATTATTTAGCACAAAAAAGAATAAAATGCTGATACTTGCTGTAGTATGGGTGACATTTGAAAACTTCATATTAAGTGACAAGTCAATCACAAAGACCACGTACTGTATGCTTCCGTTTATATGAAATGTCAATAATCGGCAAATCCATGGGGAGAAATGGGAGTGACTGCTAATGGATATAGGGTTTCTTTTGGGGTTGATGTAAATGTTCTAAAATTGAGATGAGCCCTAGATAGGTGGCTCAGTTGGTTGGAGTGTCCTCCCATTCACCAGAAGGTTGCGGGCATGTATGGGAGGCAACCAATCAATGTTTTCTCTCACATGGATGTTTCTCTCTCCCCCCCCCCTTTCCTCTTTTTCTGAAAAACAAAAACAAATAAATAAAATTGAAGTGATGGTTACACAACATTGTGAATATATTAAAAACCAACTGGATTATATACTTATATAGGTAAATTGTATAGTTTGTGAATTATATCTCAATAAGGCTTTTGCCAAAATAAACACATAAGCTGTCATAGAAATGTTATACAAAACAGCTGACACAATCTGGATTGAGACACAAGTCTTAGACCCCAGGGAAGGCCTGCATGGCAGCCTCACAAACTCAACGGCCTAAAGTAACCACATAGGATGGTCTGAAATTAAAACTGTTTAACCAAAAGCAGTTTGTGGCAGATAGTCATGTCCTAGGCTAGACTCTTACCTGACAAAAGTCAACCTTTACCTTAATTAAGCCTGTCTACTGTCTTTTTGCATCTTCCATAACATACCTTTGGAATGTCAGGGTAAGGTCCGGGTTTCCAGACCCCTCAGGGCACAGCCAATGCACCAGGGCGGGGGACCACAAATCCTCTCATTGTTATTGTGACCACGTTCATTGCAGACCATTAACTATCCTTACCCACCTATGTAAAAGATGTGTCCATCATTTTACTTTCAATCCAGTCCCAGAAGTCCCCCCACTTGCTTTATCCTACCTCCCTAATCTATCACCAATGGATTTCATGTAACCCATTTATGCCTCCTCTTTTCATTATAATGTTTTTTTAAAAAAGATGCAAAACTGCCGTTCTCTGGACCATTTTCTCAATCCGTAGAGATTTTGCTTCTCAGCAATTGTTGACAGATTGGCTCAAATGAACTCACAAAAATTCTCTACAGGTTTGACTGTTTCTTATGCTGACACTCTCAGCTACCTATGTGTTGGCCTTTCCTGACCCATCCGCCTCTCCCCCTTCTCATGCGCCCAGGGAAAGCGAACCCTCTGGGAGCAGGCTGGGCAGCCCGGGAAGCTGTGCCCACCACCCCCAATCCCACTCACGTGCCCAGCGGCTCATCAAAAACCTATATATTTTGTGCTGTTCCTCTCCCCCTACCCAGGTAGCTATCCAGCCGTGTGCCACACTCCGGCCTCTCCGTGGCTTCCTTCTCTGATCCCAAAGGAGCCTGAACGAGCTGAACCTGGGCGGGGATGACCGGAGTCAAAGGGCCAGGAAGAACCGGCAGGTAAAGAGAAAGATGCAGCCCTAACCGGTTTGGCTCAGCGTCGGCCTGCGGACTGAAGGATCCCAGGTTTGATTCGGGTCAAGGGCAGGTACCTTGGTTGCGGGCACATCCCCAGTAGGAGGTGGACAGGAGGCAGCTGATCAATGTTTCTAACTCTATTCCTCTCCCTTCCTCTCTGTAAAAAAATCAATAAAATACACTTTTTTAAAAAGAGAGAGAGAAAGATGCAGTGGGAGAGGGTGACGCGGGAGGGGGTACACACCTTGAACGCGCCCAGGCTGGCAGCAGTGCCCAGCGAAGAACAGAGCCCAAGTCACCTAGGGAGGCGTCGCGGCACTTACTCCCACCAACCGGGCGGCGGAAAGCACGGGGGTGTTCCCCTTTTTAACTCGCTATTTTAGTTTTTCAACGGCCCAATCAAAACTCGAGCCCGGCGTGCTCGTCACTGGTCTCTGGTCAAAAAGTGCTGTTATAGGTTAGAAAACGGGACTTTCCAGTCCTAAGTTTCCTGTTTCTCCAAAGCCTCATGCTTTCTGAGAAACGGGAAGGGCGGGGTTGTTGTGTTTGGGGTTGTCCCGCCTCCTCTTTAGTCATTAGATCAGCAACTGTAAAGGGTGGTTGTCAATTAAGGCAGTATGTTTCTTAAAGAGAAATTTGGTAAATTAATAAGACTTGCTTTTGGTTGTTTCAATAATGGGGTCACTGCAGATATTAAAGCAGCGGTTCTCAACCTGTGAGTCGCGACCCCTTTGGCGGTCAAACGACCCTTTCACAGGGGTCGCCTAAGACCATCCTGCATATCAGATATTTACATTATGATTCGTAACAGTAGCAACATTATAGTTATGAAGTGGCAACGAAAATAATTTTATGATTGGGTCACAACATGAGGAACTGTATTTAAAGGGACAGAAGGTTGAGAACCACTGTATTAGAGGCTGAAGGACAGGAGTCCCACCCTACACACACATACACACACACACATATGAAAAACCTGCTTATAATCTGGGCTTTACAATCACATGTAAAAACATGCTTGATTTCTCAATTATTTTAATTTATTCCTTGAATATTTATCGACTACTATGCCAGGCCCATACACACTGAATTTTTCAGAAATGCAACTACCAAGTTTTGTTTGTTGTTCAAGTTTTAAAGATATTCACCATTCAGAGAATCACACCACAACCAGCAATACCATATCTGAATCTGAGCCATCAATATAGTGCAACTTTCAGTCTTCAAGGTCATGGTTCTATTAACCAAAGAAGAGATTTAGACTATAATAACAAACAAAAAGCACTTCTTTGAGCAAAGGATTGCAATCCAAGAGACATAGATTCAGGTAGCAACTCAAACTGCACTTTGGAGAGAACAAAGAAAGGCAGGGTCCATAAAGGCAAAAACCACAAAATGCAAATGAATGCTTACTGGCTAGGTTCGCAGGGATTGGCTAGTTCCAGTATGCAAACGACAGAGACAGAAAGTCCAAGTAGCAGTTGTTTCAAGATGTTTTTGACTGCTAACCTAAAAATAAAAGGCCTTTCATAGTGAGTGGCAACAAGCATATCTTTGAGATTAAAAAAAAAAAATCAAGAGCCCTGATTCAGGCAGAAATCCAAATAGTGTTCCAATTAAGAGAACAAAGGCAAGCTGGCTGGTGTGGCCCAGTTGGTTGAGTGTCGTCTGCTACACTGTCAGTCCACAGGTTCAATTCCCAGTTGGGGAACATGCCCAAGTTGTGGGCTTTATCCCCAATGGGGTGCATGCAGGAGGCAGCAGATCAATGTTTCTCTCTCATTGTTGTTTCTCTCTCCCTCTCCTTTCCTCTCTCTCTCAAATCAATTTTTTAAAAAGTGAAACTTCTCTCTGTATAACTGATTTCTCAATAAAAGCCTTTTTAAAAAAGAAAAGAAAGAAAAACCATTTTCAGAAACCCTGAGACTGCCAAAAAAAAAAAAAAGCTCTTCTTACAGATTAACCTTTGGAGGAATTGCCCAGAGTGAGGACCAGCTTTTACTTAAGCCCCTTAGAGAAAGGAATTCTACCCAAACAGCTTGTGGGGTTTTCTTTCCCCCCAGTTAAGCGCCAAGAAGTTTTCCCTTGTATCTATCTCCTTGCTGTGGTTTTAGATTATTTTACATTCTCATGAGTTATGAAAATGAAGAACCACTGGAAGTAAAAGCAGATACCTATTGCTTTACATTTTACAGTGCCCTTCTTACCACCTTCCCCTTGTCAGAACATCCCTGGTACAGGGCCTGACATAGACTAGAATTCCATATTCATTGATCAAATGATTAAATGAATAAACATTATGATGTAGGCATAATTATCCCATTTTATGAATATGATGATGAAGAGTCAAGCGAGGAGTATGACTTTTCCCATTCCTTTTGTGGAATTAGAATTCAAACTCAGGTCTGAGTTCAGAGGCATTCACACTTCAATGCTAGCGCCTTAGAAACTTGGAACTTTTAAAGGAAGTTTGGGATGGCATGTGTTGTGAGCTCAGTAAATGTTCCTATCAGAGGTGTTAACAGGAAACTCATAGTAGCAGACTGATCCCATCACCAGCTCTTTTCATATTTTGCTGCCAACAACTAGCACCTGCACATTATCTCTAGCCCTCAGATTACCCGCAGGCACTGAAGTGAACTGGAAGTACCTGGGAGTTTTACATTTCACCCACTTCACCTGGGCAGCCTGTCGCCTAAGACAGGAAAACCCAGCTCCTTCGCTTCGAGACAAAACAAACTCTGAGGTTTGTTCTTGTTCTAGAGCTCACCCTGAGAACAGGCTGAGTGTGGCACTTCTGAAATCACACCCTCACTTGGCTTCTTCCCATTCTGTACCCTTTACCCCCCACTCCCTTATTGGTTTCTCCTGCAAGCCCTTTCTCAGTAAGTCACTTGCCTCCGAATCCTTGGCTCAGGCCTGCTGCTGTGAGAACTCTACCTGAGACACTCACTGACTCTTCAGGTGATAAAAATGGCATGCACACCTGCCATCTGTTTCCTAGCGACAGATACCGAGGAAACCACTTCAGAGAGCACTATGGCATTGTGTGTCACCAGGAGTCCTCTCTGTTTGTCTAAGTGAAAACAGAAAGAACAGGAAGTGGCCCATGGGGAAAGGGGGAGCCTGAACATCATCAGTTAGGCCTGGGTGCTACAGAGATAAAAGTATCTCTTCAGTTTCATAGACTTTTTAATTATCTCTATTGTGGAGGACCACAGAAGACAAATAGCTGTGCATCCAACTAATGAGAGAAGGTGTATGGAATTTAGTGCATAGGAACTGCTTAATACATGGTCAAACTGTTATTTTTTAATTACGTTTACTAGGAGTGTTTTTTGTTTTTGTTTTCTATCAGCCCTTCTTGTAGTTCTCCAAAGTGTCAGAATAGTTTGGTTTTTTAAAAAAATACTTTTATTGATTTCAGAGAGGAAGGGAGAGGGAGATAGAAACATCAATGATGAGAGAGAATCATTGATTGGCTGCCTACACACACACACACACATACACACACACACGCTACTGGGGATCCAGCTGGAAACCAGGCGGGTATAAGCCCTGACCAGGAATCCAACCTATAACTCTTAGTTCATAGGTCGACACTCAACCACCGAGTCACGCCAGCCGGCCCCTTTTTAATATTTACATTCTGAGCGCTAGGACATTCCTGAGGTTTCATACTTGTTTTTTGTTTTGTAAGAGAAATGAATTACACCTCTGGGGTCTTTATGGTTAACTGCTCTCTTGGTCCCAGAAGGAGCCTTCCTCTCTTGGGTGTGTCATGTAGCAGGCGATGGGGGGAGTGCTGGTCACACCCCATGTCTGTGATGCACACAGCAAAGAGAGAATCTGCTGGGGTAGATTTCTGAGGAGTGAGGAGAGCTCAATAAAATGTTGGTTTCCATAAAAATAAATAAATAAATGCCATCGTATAAAATGGAGAGTGATGGGCACACTGAGAAAATCCAGTGGGGTCCAAAAGGTGGTAATCTCTGTTGTAAGAGATTGCAAACATTTATGATATTTTTCTTTACTTTCATTATTTGATGAGGACAATTTTAAAACAATTTTACAATAAATTTTCTAAAAGAAAAGTTTTATATATTAATTAGCCAAATAATTCTTCAAATAATCAATTTGCTTCAAGTTGAGAAACAGCTTGCCTTCTGCCTGGGAGAGTGGGAGAGTCTTACGGTTTCCAGCCTCCTTCCATTTGGCCAGGCCATGGTAGGCGATGGTTGGCTCAGCTCCTACATTCCCTAGTATATAGAAGGGCAGAACATGGGCCACACTGATGGCCATGGGGAGCAGCAGGAGGGAAATACCACTGCTTAAGATATGAGCCTGAACTGTTTCACCATCACTCCTCCACTCCCAACCCTCCCCCAATCCCTTCCCCCATACACACACACACACAGGAAAATGCTCACTGATACTCAGCCAAATGGCTGTTAGCAAATTAATTTCCTTACAGACTAGTCAGCTTCCTTTTCTTTGTTTACCCTTCTCCTTGAGTAGCCACTAACAGTAATTTAGGACATGACTTTACAGATCTGCTTTTGTGTATGATACAAGTATATAATTCATGACATTTTTCTAGAAGTTACTTTTTTATTTCAGCAATATAGCATGGTTATTTTTCTGTCATTATGTAAGGTCTAACTCTTTATTATCAACATTGAGATTTTTGTTTAATTTGCATTGAACAATTGTATTTAATGAGCACAGTTAAGCCCCAGTATTCCTCCTCTCTGATCAGTTCCTAGTTCTGAAATGGGCAACTGAGGCATATGGTCCAGAGGAGTATTACATGGGACCATTAGCCAGCAAACAAGCTTTTCACAAAATAGTTCTGTTGAATGACATGGGACAGGAAGTCCTTTATGATTTAACTCAATGGGTCTCAACCTTGGCTACACATTAGAACCATCTAGAGGTTTTTTTTAAAAACCCACAATATTGTGAAAACTTATGTCCACACAAAAGCCTGCACGTGATATTTGTATCATCTTTATTCATAATTGCTAAATTTTGGAACCATTATGTTCTTCATTAGTTGAGTGGATAGACTGAGGTACACCCAGACAATGGCATGTTATTTAACACTAAAAAGTAATGCACTATCAAGTCATGAAAAGACATGAATGAACCGTAAGTGCATATTACTAACTGAAAGAAGCCAATTTGAAAAGGCTACATACTGCATGAGTCCAACTATATGACGTTCTGGATAAGGCAAAACTGAGGAAGGTAACAAAATCAATGGTTGCTTCAAGTTGTGGGGGCGAGAAGGAGGAATGAATGTTGGGAGCACAGAGGATGTTTAGGACTGTGAAATACTCTGTATAATACCATAATGATGGATGCATGTCATTATACACTTGTCCAAACCCATAGAACATACAACACACCAAGAGTGAACCATACTGTAAACTATGACTTTGGTGCTAATGATACATCAATGTAGGGTCATCAGTTGTAACAAATGTACCACTCTGGTCAGGGATGTTGACAATGGGGGAGGCTATGGTTGGTGGGGGGCAGGGATTATATGGAAAATCTCTGCACCTTCCTCTCAATTTTGCTGTTTTCCTAAAACTGCTCTAAAAACATAAGGACTTAATTTAAGATAATAATAATACTGTTGTGTGTCTGGGCTCCACCCTTAGAGACTGGTTTAGTTGCTCTGGATTGGAACCTAGAAAGCTGGGGTTTTTTAATGGGCTCTAGTTTTTTTTTAGAGCTGGTATGTGTGTTTTTTTTAAAAATATATTTTTATTAATTTCAGAGAGGAAGGGGAGGGAGAGAAAGAGAAACATTAATGATGAGAGAGAATCATTGATAGGCTGCCTCCTACATGCCCCCTCCTGGGGATCGAGCTCTCAACCTGGGCATGTGCCCTGACTGGGAATCAAACCATGACCACATGGTTCATAGGTCGACACTGAACCACTGAGCTGTACTGGCCAGGCAAGAGCTGGTATGTTTTAATAAGTAGCACAGATAATTCTACTGTGCATCAGGGGTGAAAAGTTATTGGTCTAAGTCACCCTTCAATTTTCTCAACTAAGTTCCTACAGATCTTCTCTCAGATACCCTTGCTCTGCTCTTTGAAATAACCCACATCTGTCATACCTCTATACATCTCGTAATTTTCCCCCCTGCCTGACCACCCCAGGCCTCCCTCACCAACAGGGAGAACCACTTTCCATCAAGTCTCAGCTCCAGCAAATAAATGGCTTCCCTAACACCTACCTAAAGTTTTTGTTGTTCCCTGAGAACACTTTCCTACGACCTAGTTCTTCGGGCTTTCCTATGCTGCCTATACTCTTTATCAGGACGCATTAATTATTTGAGTGCATGTCTGCCACTCCACTAAGCTGAGCAATTTGAGAGCAGTGTTGTGTTTTATTCATCTTGTCAGTACCTAGCACTAGCTAACTGAAATTTTTGGTCAAATAAAAAAGTGCACCAAGAGGGTCATCATGTATAAACTATGCCTTGAAATTGAAAAGTCTAGTAATTTTCATTCCAAGTTTATCTACTGCTTCCTAAAATATGAAATTCTCCAGACACTCTTGTTCCCTCTTTGAGTATAGACATTCCGGAGGTCTTGGCCGAGGGAACAGAACTCTGACTAAAAGATGCAAGCCTGGTCTTTAGCAGACAGGTGTGTCCCTCTGACTAAGTCATTTAATTTCTCTGGGATCCTGTTCCTCATCTGTAAAATGCAGATCACTGAGGCCCCTTCCTCCATGAACCAAACCCTATAGAACAGGGATTTACACTCTTCTTCAAGTGACACTTGAAGATTGTTTCCCTGTTTGAAAACAAAAAGGTAAGAGAGGGAGAGAGATATAAGAAACTGAACACCTCAAGTTTTACCATAGTTTTATTTAATGAAGCAAAAATATCAAAATATTTGCAACATTGATTAAAGGTAAATTTTCTATGAAAATCCTCTCATAATGGTAATCTTGGACATAAGAATTCTCCCCTCCCTGTCCTAAGCCGCCAGCGACCTTCTGCCCAGATAGGTCAGCCAGGAAGACATAAAACCCAAAGTGAAATTTTAAAGCAGGTGATGTTTGTGTTAAATTCAGTGCGTTGCCCCTTAATTTGTGTGCATAAAGCATAATAATGTATATGCATTAAAAAGAAAACAGAATTTTGAATTAGTTTAATCCAAATGAGGCAGGCATCTTCAAACCTGAAGGGAGAGGGAGGAAAGTCTTGTTAGCAAGTATACTTATTTCGTTTGGATTACAGATCACACCACCCAACTTGTCTAACTTTTGCTGTGTGCGACACCATTTGTAAAGGAAGTAGCTGCAGACAACTTTCCAGACCCATTACAAAGAGCGTTTCCCTTTAGTTTATCCCATTGGTTCTCCCACAACCTCAGCGAAAGGAATTGCCGGCACCACAGTTCAGATTCTGGCTCTATCATTCAGCTACTGGGTGACTCTGGTCAGGTCACCCAGCTTCTTTAATGCTCTCTTGAATTAATTTCCTTGTCCTAAAACATAACAGGGCATGTGAAGAGGCTTTTCTACTCTGTCCAAAGAGGCAGAGAAGTCCAGTTCCTCCCTCTTTCATGCTGCTGAAGATCCTTGTAGTTACATCCATTTTAGTGTCTTTACATTATTATAACAGTGTTTCTCTTTCTCTCCTCTATCGGACTGGGAGCCTCTAGGGGGCAAACACGGTGCCCACAGCGAAGGCTCAACAGGAGACAAAGGAATGGGACATCTTCAGAACCATGCCATGCCTCTCTTCTGACTGAGTAATAATGCAACTGCTATGCAAGAGAAGAGAGTGGTTCGTTTTTGAAGGCCCAGAGATAGTCCCTGTGGAAATGGCAGAAAAAAAGAGCAAACCCTTGCAGGTGGTGTGTGTTTGCTCTATCCTGTCACAGCACACCAGCAGCTCCCCTGACTTCCCTTAGAGGGCCGGTGATGCGCGCAGAGCCACAGCGGGGGCTACACACCTCCCTCAGGCCACTCCACAGAAAAGGGAATGTGACCCTGCAGGATTCTTCTCTGCCTGCTGACATGCCACCCCAATGAATGTCCTCCATAGACCAAGGGTTATCAGATGAAGGCTACCTGGAAATAGTCCCCAGGATAATGGAACAAAACAAAAAAGAAACTTAAAAAATTAAAGTTAGAAACATACCTCCATGATGCTGGTTACTTGTCCTTATCTATGGAAAAGAAAACAGGGAAAGAAAAAGGAAAACAATAAGTTTTACTTTTAAAATACTATGTATTAACAAATGCCTGACAGAATAGCCTGCTGTCCTTAACCATGAGTACCTTGTTTAGAACGACCTAGTTGGACCCAACTCTGCCTACTAGCCTAGATCCCAACCCAGTCAGAGTGCTGCTGGGGGAGTCCAGGATTGCGGGGAGCTAGCGGAGCAAGACTTAGAAAGCTTCCCTGAGACTCTGGTTGGTCCTCAGTCTCCCTGAGGCTGTCAGGAAAGCCTAAGGAAGCCAGCAGGTAAGAAATGTTGGAAGTGAGTATGCATTTGTGCAAGTGCTACTGCTGCTCCTTACTGTTGCCTCGGGAAAACTACCATTTCCAGGACCATGCTACAGAAGGTGCCACTTATCAGAGCTTTAATAATGTTTCCTGACAATCCCGGTATGCATTTTTAAAAAATATCAAAGCAGCCTTATGCTGTGTCTCTACTCCGACACAACTGTTAGCAGCGAAGGAAAGAACTTGAAAACTTACCCCATTTAACTTTCATAGGCTCAGAAAGAGAAGTATGGTTCACGATGCAGCTGTACTCAACTCCTGCGCTGGGAGTGAAGTTGGCGTGCACCAGAAGATAGAAAGACCAGTCCTTGCTGAAAGACAGGTCTGATTTCTCCACTGGCAACTTTTCGCCATTCTTCATCAAATCAATTTCAATCTCAGGTGGATGGAACCCAGACACATAGCAGTTCAGGAAATTTGGCTTTCCATTCTCTGGTGGATGCCGCGAGTAAACCTGCACCTTCGGTTTCCCTGAGGAACATCAGAGAAAGACAAATGAAAATTGCACAGTATTTCACTTGGGGCTACCTTGGTCAAAAGCTAGATCAGGCACCAAGTGTTTAAATGTGATCACTTATTCTCCCAGTTCAATTTCCACTTTTCCCAAAGGCTACCTCCATTTTGAAGGATAAACTTTGACCTCGTATCTTTCCCACAGAATTCCCCCACACATGCCTTTTTGGCTTTTTCTAGCAGACTTCTAATAGTATCTTCTTTTGTCACTGGAAATTGTGCCAAATCTTTAAGAACCTTTCTGTGGAGGCTCTCAAGAACTTTTTTTAACTATGAAAATGGATATTTAATCAAAATGAGAAAATAAATCATAACAACTAGCAATTTTTTTGTTGTTAATCCTCACCCGAGGATATTTTTCTGTTGATTTTTAGGGAGAGTAGAAGAGAGAGGGAAAGGCAGAGAGAAACATCAATGTGAGAGAAACACATCAACTGGTTGTCTTCTACATGAGCCCCGAATAAGGCCCCAGTGTATAGGACCCTGCAACCAAGGTACATGCCCTTGACCGAATTCGAACCCAGCACCCTTTGGTCTGCAGGCTGAGGCTCTATCCACTGAGCCAAACCGGCTAGGGCACAAATAGCAATTTTTAAAAGCTGACACATAGAAAAGCTGATCCCAAAATCCAGAAAGGGTAATACATTATTTTTATCAATTTGTTGCCTAATAGTGCTCTAGAGCACCTTAAAAAAAATATTTCTTTATTGATTTCAGAAAGGAAAGGAGAGGGAGAGGGAGAGAAACATCAATGATGAGAGAATCATTGATCAGCTGCCTCCTGCACGCCTGCCTCCTACATGCCCCCTACTGGGGATCAAGCCCACACCCCAGACTTCTGCCCTTGACCGGAATCCAACCCTTCAGCTCACAGGCAGACACTCTATCCACAGAGCCAACCAGCTAGGGCTAGAGCACATTTTTTTTTTACTGTATTGTCTTTGATCACTTCTTTATCTGGCAATTATTTCAATGGCTTCTTAGCACCCATAAAATCCCTGAACACGTCATTTAGAAGTCCACATGATTTGGTCCTAACCTACTTTTCAAACTTCATTTTTCACCTCACACACCCTTCATAGAATCCACATAAAGAAAAAAAAAACTCATGTTACATCTTTCTTTTTTTATTCCTGCTCCTGCCTAGATCGACACCCATCTGACTTCTCTATGTGTAGTGTCTAGTAAAGTGGCTCTGTAAATGGCGGATGTTATTATTACTAGTTGCTCAGATTACTAAAAGAGTCAACCCAAAGTATGTTTTTACAAAACTCAACCACTACATCCTGCCCAGAGTTTATACACTGAGCCCCTATCTGCTTTTGTACCTGATGTCATGGCTACAAGGTTTATATGTCGAAGCTGGCAAATAGCTTAAATGAGTGAGAACAATAGGAAACAATGGCTGCGTTAGAAAACCGGATAGGGTGAGGACTCTGACAAATGGGGGAGAACATTCTCTCCATTATGACCAAGTAGAGTAATGCATGAAAATGGGATTTGCATTTTAATCGGCACCCTGAAATGATTTCTATAGCTAGCGGGGTTCAAAATACATTGCATAATGCTGCAGGACAGTGGTTTCCAAAAGGGGGATGCATGACTTAGGGGGATACATCCCCGGAGGTGCAGAAATAAAGTATAAAGTCTATTTCTATATTTTTCATCCAGATGAAGAGAGGTGTTCTGCTAGTAAATATACAGACTGACACTAATGCATGAGTCCAATTAAAATACATATGCCCTGGCTGGGGTGGCTCAGTTGGTTGAGCGCCATCTGTGCACCCAGAGATTGCTCACTGATTCCTGATCAGGGCACATGCGGGGTTGCAGGCTCAATCCCCGGTAGGGGGCGTTCAGGAGGCACTCAATCAATGTTTCTCTCTCACGTTGATGTTTTTCTCCCTCTCCTTTTCTCTCTCTCTAAAAATCAATAAAGATATTTTTAAAAATAAAATACATATATACATTCAGGGTTCATGATTACTTCAGAGCAGCTGCTCTCCAGGTCCAGAAGGTGGTGGGGAAGAGGAGAAGTACCAGGCCACTCTGAACGTACTTATCTGCCTAGAAACACTCTATCATCGAAGGGAAGGTCACCAGGAAAAAAAATATCAAAAGCCCATAAGAGCTCTAGCCGGTTTGGCTCAGTGAATAGAGCCTCAGCCTGCGGACTGAAGAGTCCCTGGTTCAATTTCCCTCAAGGGCACATGCCGGAGTTGCAGGCTCCATCCCCAGTAGGGGGCGTGTGGGAGGTAGCCGATCAATGATTCTCTTTCATCATTAATGTTTCTTACTGATGTTTCTATCTCTCCCTTCCTCTCTGAAGTCAATACAAATACATTAAAAAAAAAGTAAGCCCACAAGAGCTGGACTGAGTATCCTAAATGAAGCCCTGGTTTATTTCCATAAAGTTAAAAGTGAAGATAAATCAAAATGCTCTTTGTATTTGAGCTTCTAATGCTTAGAATATAATAAATGCCACAGGAGTAAAAGCAGGGTTCATCTGGCCTGGAATTCTCACTTTGAGGGAACTGGGTGGGGTTTTGCAAAATCATCATGAAAATCTCTTTTAAGAAGGGGGCCAGTATCAGCCAGGCCTGCATTTGAATCTGGACCCAGCCTCTTATTAAAAGATTAACTTATGCTAACAGTGAAGCAAACAAAACCCACACATGGGCCGAAGCCGGTTTGGCTCAGTGGATAGAGCGTCGGCCTGCGAACTGAAAGGTCCTGGGTTCGATTCCGGTCAAGGGAATGTACCTTGGTTGCAGGCATATCCCCAGTAGGAGGTGTGCAGGAGGCAGCTGATCGATGTTTCTCTCTCATCGATGTTTCTGACTCTCTAGCTCTCTCCCTTCCTCTCTGTAAAAAAATCAATAAAATATATTTTTTAAAAAAAAACGCACACATGGGACAGAGCAGAAAATTAACCTCCGGAGGCAATCACCATTACCTATGTCTTGTGTATCTTGCAAAAATGATCTACACAGGGCATATATCAGTTTGGAAATTTTTGTTATTTTTCGAAAGGCTTCTACAGTCAGCAGCAAATAATAGTGACCACAGACATCATGCTTTATTTTGTAAGTAAATTATAAATTAAATACATTTTTCTCATGATCAAAAGACCACACTTCACAAAGGCCTTTATGAGGGGGAAATGAGAGGGTCCAGTATATTACAGGGCATTTGGAACGTGCTGGATGTCCTGGTGTCCCACCAGACAGCTGGGTAGCCACTCCGATTGCCCTTATCACTGGTTTTATAACCGCTATAACTGACTAACCTTGGCTTTATCAAAACTGAAAGTAGAAGCTGAGTTAGGTCATCTTGGAAAGCACCAGGCAAGGAGCCAAAGAGAGAGCCCTCTGGAAAGCAAAGGCAACAGGGGCCCACGGCCGCCCAGCTCGACGATCTCACACCTAAACGAGGCGGTTCTGAAAAACGCAGGAATTACAGCCCAAAGGCTTCCACCTCCGCATCATGCTCCAGTCAGGAGGGACTGTCCGCCATGAATCCCCTGTGTTTAAGTCACTCAAACTCTAGCCGCCTCAGTTTCCTCCTCGGTGAAATGCTAATAACCTTCGTATTAACATCGTAGCTGCCTTGAGACCTTTAAGGACAGAAAGCACGCAGCGTCCCCCCCGCACACAGTGAGTTGTCAAAAACAGGAAGCGCTTTAGGACGATAACAAACGACATGTAATGGGAGTGAGTGAGTTAACAGCGATGTGAAAGCGCTCGGGGACACCCCGAAGCATTCGCCAGACCCGCCAAGGTCTGAGTCCACGTCCATGGGAAAGTGCGAGGGGACAGGTGAAGCGGCCAGGCGCCGGGAGGGAGCCGGAGCCCAGCGGCTCCCGGCGAAGCAGAGCTGCTGTGGGCAGACTGACACCCCGCGTGCCTCCCCCAGAGGCCTGTCCCCACCCATCAGTCCCCAGCTCGGCGCCACGAAACCAGCCTGCCCGCCTTCCGCTAGTAAGTACCCCCCCGCCCCGTCCCGTGGCCAAAAAGAGCACTTGGGGAGCCCGGGTGGTGCAGAGAGAGTGCCAACGCGGGCGAGGAAGGGTCCGCAGAGGAGAAGAGGAGGAGAGGGCACTCACGATGTTCGGCGTTCAGGCCAGACAGACAGAGCAGCCCGAGCAGGACCACGGCCACGGGTACAGCCATTGCCACCACTCGAGTGAGAGTAGCAAAATGAGGGCGCGACCTCGCGTCTCGGCTTATATCCCCCGAGTGAACCGCCAATCAGAACCCTGCCCGTCACCAGTTTCCTAGCTGGAGGTGCTGGACCAGGTTAGGAATGGGACTCGCATTTTCAGTTTCAGTTTCCTATAAAGCCTCGTGATTTTTTGAAAGAAGGCATGGATTGGACGGGGTGGGTTCGCTGTCTGTAAAAGGGCGCCCTCCGATCTTGGGTGTGTCCCGAGCCTGGGACGCTGACCGCCCGTCCTCGAACTTGAGCCTGGACCGCACCTTTGTCCAGTGCCCTCGCTTTCCCAACCCAGCCCGAGATGCTGATCACTTGCTTACCTTTCGTAACCAGTTAGGAGCCTGGAACCTGCGGTGTTCATTTGGAAAAAAAATTTTAAAAAATGGAAGCCCAGAAAGATTCAGTGTTCGGCTAGAGGATGAACGGAGCCGGGCAGGACAAGAACTAGTGTTAATAATTACAGCCTGGAATACACTGTAGGTTCCTGGATGTGCGGGGCGAGAAGAATAGCCCAGGGACCTCGAGGAGCTCAGAGAACTGTTTGGCGTGAAGCGGGACCTCCTGGCCTCCTGAACCCCTTAGGGGAATAGATTCTTTTTGTAAAGCTCCTTGCCAACGAATTTTCTGTATCTTCCCCGTTGCTGTTTAGGGTGATTGTTGCTTTGTGGGGGAAACGACCACTGATAGTAACTGCTTTGAACTTGAGCGTGTAACAGACCTCTTTAGGTGCCTTAGAATGGGGCTTGGCACGAGGTAAGTATTCGGTGAACGGAATGAGTGAATGAACGAAGCAAAAACGGAGCGAACACCTTAATAAACTCTAGGAGGTTGAAATTGCCTCACTCATTTTTATGGATGAGGGAAGACGGAGGCTAAGAGACTAGTATTCAAACTCTGGCCTGATTCCATTGGCCTTCATGCTTCCAACACTTAGAAGACAACGGCCATGGCAATTTTAGTGAGAATTTAAATTGCTCCCAGCCAAAGAGGTTGGGAGCAAACCTACTGATTAGAAGAGCGAGACTATTTTAGACCGATTCTGTAAGAAAACCTAACTTCCTGCGATCACATACAAAAAGATGCTGCCAGCAAATGGCCCGGGAGCCTTCAAGCAACAGTGAGAAGAGGAAGTGAACCATGGGGGTGGGGAGGGGCAGAGACCTGGGAAATCACCGCAGTTTTCAGTTGAAGGACTTGAAGGACGTTGGATTGTGCTTCCCCAAGGAACACAACAAATGTATTCTAGATTTCTTCCACAGGTTTTTAGACCTTTTAATAATCCCTATTGTGGAAGACATGGCTAAACTAGAGAAAGTCGAATATTCTCCACAAGCCTAATGAAATGAGTTAATACACAGACAGCCTCACACGGTTCCAAACAAGTAACAAATATGTAAACTATTTAACAATTGTTTTGTCATCACTGTTGTTATTTACCTAGTTTTTCTACTATAACTATTACTCTTGAAATTAGGAAAAATTTTTGTGTATAAAGTTGTAAGTAGAGACATTCCTGCCTCTCTCATTTGTTTGTGTTTGTTTTCTAACTCATTTAAGGCTCTCAAGGCCTGAAATGTTCGTGTTGAATATTTTCCACTGACCTGGGAGTATAGGAAGAGACTGGGCCATTTTTCACCTCTAAAGTCCTTGTCTACTACAACCCAGAGAAAAACTGTATTTAAAATTTATCAAAAATAGTTTCTGACCTACTTACTTAGAAACCAACTTTAAAAGCAATAAGCCCTAACAGGTTTGGCTCAGTGGATAGATCATCGGCCTTCGGACTGAAGGGTCCCAGGTTTGATTCTGGTCCGGGGCATGTGCCTTGGTTGTGGGCACATCCCCAGTGGGAGGTGTGCAGGAGGCAGCTGATTGATGTTTCTCTCTCATCAATGTTTCTAACTATCCCTCTTCTTTCCTCTCTGTAAAAAAATCAATAAAATATATTTTTTTAAAAATTAAAAAAACCATATAGTGAAGACAGAAAGTACATGTTTCAATATTCTGTGTTTAGAGAATTCCTGTACTTTTCTTGGATTTCCATTTAGAGCATGTTTTGAATAGTGAGTGTGAAAAAGAGATATAAATTACTTTTTTTAAAAAAAAAAAAAAAGAGCACCCAATTGGGGAAAAAAGGAGACGTATGTACTACTATTTGTAGTACTTTAAACAATAAAATAAAATAAAATAAAATAAAATAAAAAAACAATAAGAGCACAATGAGATATCACCTCACACCTGTCAGAATGGCTATCATAAAAAAAAATCAACAAACAAGTGCTGGTGAAGATGCGAAGAAAAGGGAACAGCAATCCCACTTCTGAAAATATATTCTAGAAACCCCAAAACACCAATCAAAAAGAATATATGCACCCCTATGTTCACAGCAGCATTCTTTACAATAGCTAAGATTTGGAAACAGCCCAAGTGCCCATCAGTAGATAAATGGATAAAAAAGGCTGTGGAACATTTATGCTATGGAATACTATGCAGCTGTAAAAAAGAGGGCTCTCTTACCCTTTGGGACAGCATGTATGGACCTGGAAGATATTATGCTAAGTGAAATAAGCCAATCTGAGAAACACAAATATCATATGATCTCACTTATTTGTGGAATCTAATGAACAAAATGAATTGACCAACAAAGTAAGACCTGAAGCATGGAGGCATGGAACAGACTGACATACCTCGATGTGGGGTTGGGGGGAGGA